ACTGTCCCCCCTGGCTGGGGACAGACTCCCTTCCCTGGACCCTGACGGGGTTTGTCTTTGTGCTCTGGGCCTCAGGGTGCCCCAGCGCCCATTCACACAGGGAGCTTCATCCGCATTCCTAACCGGAGACTGAGAGCGGTATTCCCGCGTTTCAGGAACCAGGGCTGGTGGCGTGGCACTGATGGGAGAGGGGCGAGAGTTTAAGCTTGGGCTCAGTGGAGCTCTCCCGCTGGGAGCCTGGCTGAAGACCACAACACACTGTCCCACCTGGAAGACATGTGAAGACATGATCACAAACTACTGCATACAAACTCACAACCCCCTCACCTCCTGCTCTGTTAGCCTGTTATTTCTCAGGACACCCAAGCAGGGGTCCAGAGATTCGATTCCATGGAGACAGAGACTTTTCTCTCTTCACTCTGCCACATGATTTCTGACCCCCTTACCCTGCAGGCAGGATGGCACCACAACTCAGGAGCCCCATGGTCTTCGTTTTCCACCTTCAGTGGCTGCCACGTCCAAGGGTTCGTGTGCATGTGCAGTAACCAGGCGTCCTTGAACAGCTGTCAATAAAAGAGCAACATAACTAGAAGTTTAGTCTTGGTGTGCAACTATCTTCCTCGGAGAAAAGCGTCCTTGATACCAATCTCGCTACAGATGGACAGAAATCACAGCCCGGATTGCAGTTCCTGGAGTGACTACCACTCGCACACTATGGGACTTTAAAGACAAATCAAATCTCCAAGCCACGGTGTCTTACCCAACTATAAGTCAGGGATAACTCTAGCAAGGCTTTATTTATGTGGGCACAGCACTCTAAGCGTCATGGATAGAAGGCAGCGGAGAGAGGAGTTGCACTTTATCATTTACTTAGTTGTGGAAGGGATGACAACTACAGCCAGAACTCTACAATTCAGCTGCCAGCACAACCAGTCAAGGTAGCTTTGCAGAGTAACTAGCAACTGATCTGCTGAGCGACCACGAGCAACAAGGCACACCCATGACCACGGGGGACCCCTCTGTAAGGTGCACATGAACTGGTGTTATAAACAGGTAAGATGCGCATGCCCCGTGCTCATGCTCCCATGCTTTAATATACTTACAGCATTTGGCCCCCCACAGCCACCAAGGATTAAGATGGTCTCATCATCTATGACAATCTAGAGAGACAAAGAAGCGTTAGAAACTTGGGGTACCCATGGCAAGGGTCTTGCCCCAGCCTGCTCTCAAACTCCCATTCAGCACTGGACCAACCCACCCATTGCTCCCAGCAACTGTCCAAAGCTCGACAGGCTCCAGGAGCCCACCTAAAACACACGGATAAAGTCTCTAGAAAGTGCACACAAAACAAGACTTTCCAACCAGGAAGAATGGGTTCCGGGAATTCATTCATCCCTTTCTGAGTGCAAGGAAAGACACGGGAAAACATGGGTCTATAGCAGGTCGCCTGCTCTGAATCTGCATCATGCCACAGGCACTTGAATACCTACAGGCTGTATTTATACAAGCCACATCATCACAGTTTTAGAGTGCTATGGTGAAGAGTGCAGTATCAAATCTGTTGACAGGGTGTCTGTTACAGCCTGCTGATGCCAGAGTCAGGCAAGACAGACAAGGAAAGGGGGTGGGGAGTGCTCCAGCATGTATGCCGTATGATTCTATAATCGGGCATTAAAATGCTTTTAGTGGAAATCATCCAAGGCAGTGGAAATATGAAATCTGACATGTCAGCAAATCCATATATAAAGGGGTCTTCTACAAAGCCAGTACAGAGGAATATTTTTCATGGCTCTTAAACGGCGAGGATGATGTCAGTGTTTTGCTTCGGCTGTTAAAACAGAGGACTCTGGTTTGGAGAAGTGCTAACTGCAAATCTAGGTGTACATACACAAACTGGGACAAATACAGCATGGCTTAATGCCCGGAGGCTTTCAAAGGGTGGCCTCTTAAATTAGTAAAGTAGAAGGGAAATCGGCAAAGGCTTGGCACAAAGAGGCTATTGGCATTGCTTGTTATGAGTCCTGCAGATGACAAGCTCAAAACCAAGCCTAATTGTTTCCTACTGCTTCTTTTTCACACGCAGCAGTGGCGGTGAGAGCAGGCTGATGACTTCCTCACAAGGTGCTGCAACATTTGCTGAATAACTGCAAAGGATTGTCACCTGAGACTGGCCACCTCGTGGGTGAGGGCTTGGCCCAGAGACATTTGGCTTCGACCAAGCCCACTGCTCCAGATCCAGAACCCAGACATCATTACTCCTGCAAGGACAAGACGACAAACATGGAGCCAACGGTGCAGGAGAAAAAGAACCCCCACATTCCTTGAAAGATCTCAAGGAAGTGCTGCTTTGGAGCCTGCAGGACTACTAGCATTACTCCTAAGGGGAAGGTAGGCTCTGGGGCTTTGCCTTCTTTCTCAGAACAAGTTCTTGGTGTACACTGGTATAGCCAAAGAAAAATGGAACCAGCAAAAGAACAAGACCCATGAGCAAACATGAGCCTGGTCAAGGACTCAGATCAAAATCCAACAGAAGACAGGAGCGGGGGGGAGCAGCAGCACATCCAAACATCCTATACGCTTAATGACTTAGCTTCTTCCAGCCTTGCCGTCACACTGCACCGTGATCCTGACCTACCCCCCCGAGGCCAAGCTCAGATTTTAATAGTGCTATATTGAGCCGTGTTCTGAGGTGGATAAATGTTTGTTAAGACCAAACGCACTGTCACTTGGGGGACTACACTTCAGAACAGGTCTTAAAGGCCACTGCCCTGATCTTGCAATGGACTCCACTGCACACGCCTGAAGCATGACTCAGGGAAGGGTACAGCATATAAAAGTGAGAGTGGTAGTCTCAACCATCCCCTTAGCAACCAGGCTATTAACCTGACAAGCGCAGATGCAGCAAAACAGGCCTTGCTTAGTTCAAGAAAGCATCTAGGACCAGAACAGCAGACACAGAGATCAGAAACACGAGGCACTGTTGTAGTGGGAAAGCTTGTATCGCCCCTCACCCAATCTCTGCCCAGTTTTATCACTCCTCACAGGGTGATCACTAGTCCCAGAAACATCCGGAGGGAAGAGAATGTTCAACATACATTTGCCGAGATCCCAGCGAGCCCCCAAAGACGATCATTTTGTCTTCTATTACACAGGAGGAGTGTCCTGCCATGGGAGGTGGCCCATGGGTCGTCACAATGCAGTTCCACCTGTGGAAACAAGAATTCATGAATGCTGGTAAACTATACTAGAGTCCCGCCCAGCTTTTTCCCCTCCCAGAGATGAAAGGCATCACCAACCCTGCACGTCACAGGAAAACCACTTCTCAAAACAGCACAGACCCACTGACTTTCTGCTGCTGCAGTTTCTAGGTCCAGTGGGGATGGCGTTTTAAACCTTAATTATTTTAAGTTTGTTCTTGCTCTATGGTGACACTTGGGAAGCTAGGCAGAAGGGTCCATCTTTTTGCTCTCTGTTTGGATAATGCTTAAGACAGTGGAGTCCTGCTTGATAACTACAGCTCCTATATGCTACTGCAGTGACAGAAAGTGGGTAAGTCCCAGACAGAGGATTCTGACTTAAACGATCTAAAATCACCATCATCAAGATTTGAATAAAAGGGCAAACAGTTTAATTTGGAACCAAGATACTAAGACTGAACTGGTAACACCAACACATTCAATGAAATCTGTCCTCAACTATTATTACCTGTTTAATTATAGCATATTAAAAACATTGCCAAAAATGCATTGAGATGATTGAGCTTTTTGCTGATTATATGCCCATCTGGAACTGCTTTAATACCACACTGGCTCACACACAGACAGCAGACATATTTTTGCAAGTGAGCATGTTTTCTGGGGACTGGCAGGAGAGTTTTGCTACCATCTCTACAAAGTTAATCTGCTTTGTCCAGACAAACTTAGAGGCTGGAAGAGCAGGTGGCTTTCAGCAGTGGGATGTTTACTTGTGGGATTCTTCTTCCCCTAGTGATTCACAGGGAATCAACTTTACATGAAAGTATAAACCTGAAGGTAAGGTAAAAATCTTCAGTGTTACATAGTTCCTACATCATTATCATATTATATATTATCATAATGAATCATAGTGTATGGCCAAAGGAATTGCGTGGTTTCAAACACTTCTATCCAGTTTATATCAAATCCTTAGATCCAGTTGGAAGAATTTGTTCCATTTTAGTTACCAATGGAGGGAAATAAGGAAATAACCATCATCCAAGTAGCTTTCAGACAGCAGCACACTCAGTTCTGCATGTCCGAGATGAAATTGCTTGGTCATATTTTTACGGGGGTGGAGAGGGGTGGGGGGAAGGAATCCACAAAAGTGTCAGGAACAGCCTAATCTAATCCAAGGGCAAAAATGTATCTTTTGTCTCCATCCCCATAAACCAAATCTTACGGGACTCAGCTAACTGCTAAAGGCTGTTCTGCATGCCTATCGTTGATATGCGGTCAAGGGATTTGATTCAAGTTCAGACTCTCAAGAGGTTCTCTCACCAATTTTTGGAGGGTGAGTAGGTGTGTATCTCATCGAAGAACCTCTCTGGCTGGTGCAGAGGATAAGGACTTGGTCGCGTCCACCCACCAAACAGTACCAGCAAGTCCTTGTACACCACTAAAGTGGCTCCAGCCTTAGGTGAAGGGTAAGAACCTGCAGGAGAAAGGGAAAGGTTAGGAAACTGCATCTTGTACCAGCAGCCACTGTGCGAGCCAATCTTACTGAAACGTGACAAAATGGAAACTCCCCTTGAAAAAGCAGAAAGGAAGAGAAGACAAAATTAGTGTTGGGAGCATGGGAAGAAAGCTACTGCCAATTTGTGTCATCATAATTAGTACGAGCCTGAAAGCACGTTTCATGTATGGCAAAACATCTGTCAGTCAGTGACAGGAAATTACTAGCTTTCCAACACATCCCTTTAAATTATTGCTTTAGCGCTGAATAAAAGCAATAATTACCTCCAAATACCTAGCGACTTTTCCCCAAGGAAGGAGGGAGTATGAATACTAATCTGAATACATCCGGCATTGCTCATGGCAGATCACTTGGGTACTTACAAACCTAAGTGTATTCTGAATCATTTTAGTGGAATGATGCAAGATTAACCCTATGCATATGCAATAAGTATTAACAGCTACTTCTCAGTCTGAAGCAGGGCAGACCGCAGAGTAAAGGTGACTGTCAGGAGAAGTGACAGCAGTGACTGAAGAACACAGCATCCAGCTCTGATTGTCCTGGGCTTTGACCCACAGGAAAGTCATTTACGCATAGTTCTTTGGGTAAATACAATATCTTTTATTAGACCAACTAAATATTTGGAAAATTGTTCTCTGCAAGCTTTTGGGTACTGACACCCTTCCTTCAGTCATTCACACACCAGCTTGAATGGTAATGAAGTCAATTATCCCTGTCTGTCCCAGTAGAAGTGTTTTCTCCAATACTTCACAGGTACTTAAAGCGGGACAATGGGTGTGCAGGTCGCAGGATCCCGGAATAAAAAAAAAGAGGAATCCACCTCTGGATTTAGTATTGAGAATGAGGGAAAGACTACATGAATCAACAACAACAACAAAGGCGTATGCAAGAGAGGGAGGTGCTGAACTCTTTGGAGAACGTGAAAGTAGGGAGTTGACACCGAGTCCGTAGGCTCTGGGCAGCGGGGGTCCTTTCCCGGGACGGTTAACAGCAAGTGCCCTGCAGGGATTCCAGAGATGGAGCCCCCAAAACCAAGGGAAGTGCAACAGCCCCTGTGTCTACTAGCACAGTGGTGTTCAACCCCTAGCCTGAGGGACCACACAATCTGGTTTGAGGGGTTTCCCACAGGTCTGGAAACTTGGGGAGCGGGGTAGGGCTACTTGCTTCCAGAGCCACTGCAATTAATGCTGCCACCGCTTCCCTTCTGCCAAATTTCTGGAGCCGTGGGGAGCTCTGTGGGCCGGAAGACATGGCCCCGTATGGGTCACACTGCAGACTGATGCTATGTGCTGCCCACCCCTGCGAGATCCAGCCTGCGGACCAGCTCTGCACCACTGCTCTAGTGGGTTTGGCTTCAACACAGCAGTCTGGCAAGCATCTAGCCGACCAGATCTGCGTAGGCCACACCAGAACATAACACTACTTAAAAACTAGGCCACGAGGCTGGATATCAGTTGTAATCAAACAAACAAGATATTGCATAAAACAAGGGAGAGTGACACAAGGCTGGGGCTGTCATGAGCTATGGAAAAACTACACTCGACTTTGGGGCAGCAGCAGATGCTTTTCCAAATTGGGGAGTCTTAGTTAAAGGCATATCTACCTACCTACTTATGCCTTTAACTAAAACTCCCCAATTATATATATAAAAGCAGCAGACAGGGAAACCGCTATGACAGCCAGTGAGAAAAGCTTTTCACGTTAACTCACTAAAGCCACCACAAAAAGAACGCACAATCTCGCTGCCTGTCTACAGACTTTACGTGTCACTTGGCAGGTTCAGGCTTTTGAAAAGATCAAGAGCATCTTGGAAGAGATAGAAAGAGCTCAGACTGCGCGCTCCAAATGAAGGAATCCAGCAGACAGCCTGCGTGATTTCCCCCAGTCGCAAGTGCACACGACAGACGGGTGAGGTACGCCGTCACAAACATCACGGGGCCAGGCTCAATTAGCTGGTGCTGCAGAATGGCTCCTTCGCAGTCAAGCAGCAACACTGCAGCATTACATGGACAATAGAAAAAGCCTTTATGCAAAGTGCAATATTTGGGTTTCTTTCTCCCCTGAGAGTACGAATCTGGACGTGCACAGGGGCTAGGCTATTTCCAAGATGCAAGGAACCACAGCTGTGCCGCTTCCATTGGCTGCGGCGGGTACTAAGCAGCCGGCCGAAGCTCTCTTTCAATTGACAGGTTTGCAAATCCATAAAGCAGCCGAGCATCTTTTAAAGAAGAAATCCTCAGCTTCCATGTATGCTTGGAAAGCCCCACCCATGACTCCCATCAGAGACTACATATTTAAAACACAAGAGCAGGCATTTTAAGTTTTAAATGCATTAAAGAACATGTCTGAGCATAGGCAGTCAAATAGTGCCAGAAATTATGCTGTGCTGGAATGTGAGGTTCAAAATTCAAAAGCATGGTTAGCTAGAAACTCTGCCCTTTCACCTGCACCAGGTACAGGCCTGAATGGCTCCAAACAAGAAACATGGAGGACAGGAAATGAAGGGAAAAAACTGTAAGGATGCCCATTAGTAATGTCATAGGGCACAGAAAAAAAAAAAAAAA